ATCTGTAGACGCACTAGTTGTTGTTGCATGCAATTTTGAAAAATACAGACTCGTCGCCGAAAATGGGAACACCACCATTTACTTTACCGTAAAAATTATGAAGTTTTTACAAAAATTATAGATGAAGCATTTTTAAGAACTTTTTATGCTAGTTGGAATCAAAGAAAAACTTTCAAGTCGTTTCTGAGAAGCCAATGAAAAACTGTTGCGACTTGAAGTGAAATACCCCTAATATCAAAATATTCCGTTCAAACGCACAGGGGCTTCAGATGGTTCAAATCGATCGAAATCGGAAGGGGAGAACTTGATTTGGAGAAAATGACTCAAGAGATAAGCTAGTGTTGACCACACACACACGGACGGGCACGCGGGAAGACTTTAAGTCGGAGAGACTTACAGACGGGAAGACGGACGGAAGGACGAAGAGACGGAAGGACGAAGCCACGGACGGACGAAGCGACGGAAGGAGGAAGAGACGGACAGACAAAGAGCCGGACGGACGAAGCCACGGACGGACGGACGAAGAGACGGACGGATGAAGGGACGGACGGATGAATGACGGACGGTCGAAGGGATGGACGGACAAAGGAACGGACGGACAAAGGGACGGACGGACGAAGGGACGGACGGATGAAGGGACGGACGGACGGACGGAGGAAGGGACGGACGGACGAAGAGACGGACGGACGAAGAGACGGACGGACGAAGGGACGGATGGACGAGGGGACGGAATATATGTGTATATATATATACTATCTTAATACTACTGGTCTTGATAAAATGATCTAAATTATTGTAAAAATGTATTGTACATAATATTTGTGTTTGTTATAATTTATAAAATGTATCTCTGATGTTAATGTATCTCTGGTGTAACTTTGTATTTAATCATTCTGACTGATATAAGATATAAAAACTGTTATTGATATGGAAAATAATAGTTGTCGCTAATGACCTTAGTTGTTTATAAAGCGACCTTATTAGATACATATGATGAATAAATAATACTAAACTATGTACATTTTTTATTAATGAATATATAATAAAAATGCTTATATGTAAAAGACTATTTGTCTCGAGATATTAAGGGATTGTATTTAACTAGAACATTTGGGCCTCGTTCAAAAGCATTAATATATTAATTTAATTTCAACTAAGAAGCAAATTATGTATTTGAATTTCCGCCCAGCAAATATAATTTCAGGTCATCGTCTCCTATATTATTTCAGTAGTATACATGCCGTTTGCGGCTATCACACGCAACCTTTCTTTATAAATGGTCTCTAAAGAAAGAGAATTTCACGATGACGTGACGAATTAAACTTTGAATTTAAAATATGAAGGATTTGTTTTTAAAAAAACGCATCTAAATATTCATGTCAAGCAACCCGCTGCACTCAGACAGCTATATCGTTAAATAACTCCTAAACAAAGCGTTCTAGGGCTTTAAAAATTAAAATTTTGTGGCTCTCCAAGGAATGTCCCTCGCAATATATAGGATGAGATATTCTTGGACATTATAATAAACTTATGCTGGCTGGGCACTTATCGGTACTATAAATGCAACCTATATTTATCCCTTGCTCTAACGTCATGCTTAAAGGCTTAGATTCCTCTAACTTATATTATTTACTTTTTCTGTGAACTTTCATAATGTATTAAAGCACCATAGAATTCAAATTTGGAGAATTTCTTGTTTAATGTTTAATTTTAATGGTATTTAGTTTAGTGTTCATTTTTGTCACATACTGCTTAATCCGGTATATTCCAGTTGTAATAAGTAAAATGAAATACATCGTATTTGTTAAACCTGCTGATAACCATTGTCTGGAGAGGAACTACCTCTCAGTACCCTTATTCTGTAAGACATCGCAATCCCAACTCGGGATCAAGGACAAATTTCCCTAATGTTCTAGTATCCATTGGTTTCAGAAGCGAATAGCACATTAATGGGGGTACCTGAGGTAATGGTTTCATACCTTCTAAAAATCCCCCGTTTGGCCGTCGTGTCGTGCAGCTGAACAGCAACTGGAAGCCGGCTATACAAACTGGTACGTAGGAAGGATGGAGGTACCTGCCGCCCGTGAATGTGATTCTCTTGCTATTTGCGAATAGTAATCTTCGGGCCATTTCACTAGTTTTCTATTTTACCCAGTTAAAATCATTTATGTGCACTATTAATAGAAATATTAATAGAAAACAATTTCTTGTTAGTATCTAGTATAGAATCAGATTATTCGCCGTTCTTATTTTCAGGCGCTTTCGAAAACCATTTCCACTTCACACTAATGACCAGCTGATATAATCTCAGAGCCAAAACTGCCACTGTCTTTGCAATGACTCTGACCAGGAGAACCAACATTTTGAGTCCCTCCGGTGGCCGGTATTTTCGATGCCAGCTATAACATAGCTGTAGCACAGCTTTATTCATTACAGCTGTCTGGAAGACAATTCCAGCACCTAGATGCTCGGTAGTTTTCATTACTTCTGCTATCAATGTCGGAACAGTACCCTAATAAACGGGCTAGGGGGTCTCGCGAAATCTTTCATTCCTCTCCTTTGTCCTATTATTTCCTAGTTACACTTAAATGCATTTTATTACTACACCCTAGGATAGGCCAATCGCGATAGAGCCATTCCAGGTGGGGCGGTGCGCCGCTGAGGGGGAAATTTCTCGCAAGTTTACATGTAGGACCTCACAATCCAGAGGCTGAGGAACACCACTACCTCCCGCGATAAAACATTCACTACACTAACGCTACTAATGACCATGAACGTTGTCGCTCCCGAAAACATCAATCAACCAATCGGGCTGATGAGAAACTGGTATAAAAGGGCAGTTTCCAGATGAAGTTGAAATGAATAGAAATTACCCTTACAATATCGTCTTCATCAACGTCGGTTTCGATATTGAGCCGAGACAGGGCTGAAAGTGAATCAGTCGGGCGCTAGAGGTAACGCCCACGCTGAGCTGCGCTCACTTAGGGTTGACGCCCCCTGATCGCAAGAGTTGTTAAATGCCCGGCGCGTCGTGACAATTTTGTCAGAATGTTCGTTTGCAGTATATACCATTGAATGTACGAAGAGTTCCTGGAATATGGTAATAAAAATGGATTTGATATACCTATTTACTTTAATTATTTTAACTTCCTACATTACCCTGTCCTTTCTGAATACAATTTTCGGCATTAGTTTGTTCTCAGAAGGACGTACATTGAAGTCCAGAAATCGATTTTTTGCAGCATTACGTAACTTTCACTACTACATTGATTCATTAGTGTTTCCACTAAGGTAAATTAATCCCATAACTATAGGGCATATATACATACGTATAGGACAAAGTAAAAGAAACAACTGCATACGGATTCTGTTTCGTGAACTGTTTACCAGTAGTTCCCTTTCAAAAGTTCTTGAAGGTGGCAGAATTAGTTCTGCCTTTGAAGTGAACGTTTCATTATCTTACTGAATGGCTAATCAACTGCCATGAAACAATATGTGTGGTTAATACATGAATCCATTACATATGCGCTTTCTGGAAGTAGGAGCGAGATCAAGCTATTTAGAAATTTAACATTGTACTCGTAGATTAAAACCATTCATAGTTAACACAGAAACTGGACTATTAAACATACGTTGACCCGAATGTTTGTGATTATTTCGTGAGCACTTTTGGTTGAGAATTTGATTTTCCTGATCTTTGATTAAGTCGAAGATAAAGCAGGAGGGTTAGCTACTTTCACCTTCAAAGCTCTCCAAAAAGCAAGTGTCAAACAATAAAGTTTCGTCTTCACTACGTTTCGTGTTCTTGCTTCGTAGATAAAATGAGGACTATTTGGAAGTGTAGAATTAGGACCTCGCTAGTAATCGAAGGGCTTTGACAGAGTGAGTGCCGCCGGTCCCCTAAAATCGTGATGAACCGATATTTGTGCCCTGAGAAAATGTGTCGGTAACACATCAACCTTAGCAGAGTTGGAATGAACGTGTGTATAAAAAAAAAGGAATTTGAAATGAAAATGATACATGCGCCATTCTCTTAAGCATTCATTACGCTATCCAATAACAAAATTTAATTAAAAAAATTAGTGCTATTTTTTTGAAAATTTTTAAAATGTTCCAGGGGCTTCAAGTAAAGTACCCCCAAAATTAAAATATCGGTTTCAAATTCCAGGGACCGCAACATCAGCTAGATCGATTGGAGAATATCCATTTTGAAGGAAATCTGCCGAACGGTTTAGGAGCTTGCGTTGACCACAGACGGATGTGCAGACCGACTCTTTCCTGTCAATCAATTTTTCGGAATCAAGGACACACAAAACATGGCTACATAACGTGTTAAAGGAAGTAATTTACAACATATAGAGACAAGAGTTATCCACTTCTTCGTTTCAAGGGCCCAGCAAGAAGAGATTTTGTGTCGAAAATTCGCCGTTTTTTCATGCAGCATTACAATTATCTATACTGCTTAAGCAATAGCGAAAACGTAAAAAGGGTAATATTTAATTAAACTGATCCCAAATTAGAGTAGTGCTAAAAAACCGCATCGCCAACAGAAAATTGGCATTCTGTATTTTCTAATCCAATCTGCTTTCAAAAATGTTAATATTAGTAGAAATTGGTAATCATATATTTTATGTGGATTGTATGATATTTCTGATTCCATTACCTTCATAACTCGCTCCATTGTTGCAAATCAAGTGGTAAGTCAAGTATTTTTAGAATTATATTGCAGATTACAACTGTGAGAAAGTTGATTCGATTTTTTAGCACTACTGTAAATGTGTATTGTGTGTGTGTGCTACTAAGTAATAAAATTCCACATTGCTACAGAAAACTTCATACCAGCTTGGACCGTTTCTCCCTATCCACCTATATACCTTCCCTAACATACAGAAATCTGTTGACTGCGAACAAGTATTGTCTTGTTGCTGCCTACTTTTAAGGGTTCACAGAGTCTCGCAGACGACTGAGTTTGTTTGTTGTCTGAGACTATTCGATCTTACCAGTGTTTTTTTGTGAACTGTACCTCCAATATTTCGTGAACCACGATCTTTGGGAGTTTCCAACTGTCTCTGAGTTCTAAAATGTTATTGAAAATGTCAATAAACTGTAAATATAGTAAAAGAGGGATGAATAGGAGTCAGATTTTATATTAATAAATATTTGCAGAAGTATGTAAGGGAAAATCATTTGTTTCTGTAATATTTACACTTTTTAGTGTTCATTACTGAAAAATATATACATACATACATATATACATACATACATACATAAATATTTAATTTTTAACATACAAAAACGCAGTGATAATTTTTGGAAATTCTCTCAATTTCGTTTTTTATTTTTGGATGCTGATTTTGTTGTTCTTGATTTGGAACTGAAACACTTAACAACTGCACGCACGAATAAGGTTGTTAGGACTATGACAGCCAGTACTATTAATGCGAGCACAGCTATAACATCTAAGAAATAATATTGGAGCGGGTTCAGCTTCAACGCTGCAGAACGCAAATGAGGAGCGCCTCCATGACGAATCGCATATTCTACCCAGAAAACAGCCTTCTCCAATGGCTTCTGTGGCTGGTCTGTTATGATTGAAGATAAGCGTTTTGCATTCTCACGGTACCTTAAATTAAACATGAAATGGCATTTGATAAAAAGTGAATACATGAAAAAATGTTATTAATCATACGTATTTAATTTTTATAAATTAGAATTAAAAATAAATTTATAAATTAGAAAAATAAATAAATTTATAAATTAGAGTTTATATTAACTAGCTCTGTCTGAGTTGAAGTTCCTTTCATTCGGTGAAATATTGATTATTTTACTCTCTCCTAATGATATATAAGTTACAGCCAAATGTCGATAACTGGCTAATGTTCGTAGTAGCCGGGGGAAATCGTATATTAGTCAGACGATGTGGATAAAACTGTATGAATAACGATGAACAGATTAATTCGAACTTCGAAAGGGAGATGTTGATATTAGTCATACAGGGCTGTCTAAAATAAGGAGATTGTCCAAGTGTGAGCGTTTGCAAGAAGTATTTTGCCATAACAAAGTGTTGAACATTATGCGTTCAACAAACTGAAGGTTGGTTGATGTAAATCGCGAAGGCCAGAGATTCGGAAATGCGTAGTAAAGCGTCATCGGAAGAATACTCGTGTAATGAAGTTAGGTTAGGTGTATATAACGTATCGTATAAATAAAAGTTCACGGTTGACACTGTGGAGCTCGAAACTTTACATATTGTGTCTCACTAGCCTCAGGAACTTCGAACTGCAGTCTGATCCCCGTTTATCAGACTTTTTTGTTTATTCTTCGGCACCTTAACGCAACATCACACAAACGAGTCACATCGTATTGGCTAATATGCACTTCATCCGGCTTACGTTCGAAATATATTCGAAGTTTAGACTTTATCCACTCATTTCGGAGAATGAATATTAACAGGTTAAGTTTCAAATTAACCTATATCAAATTTTATCCGTTAAATACTATACATTAAATACGAGACATTGCAAGATTAAACGTGGTTAAAATATGTCTAATTGACCGATTGAGACAGCACGCTGAACGAAAGGGCAGGCCTGATTTTCTGAGTGTCACCAAAATCAGTATATTATTATTATTATTATTATTATTATTATTATTATTATTATTATTATTATTATTATTATTATCTTCTAAAAGAGAAAATAAAAATACCTTGGTTCATTGAGAACTTGATTAAGGGCCCAGCTCACGGATTCTTCGGTAATATTGTGAACATCCAACACTACAGCATACCCTGAATTTTCAGCACGTAACGCATTCACTTTCTGATCTGCCATGATAGGAACTGCTACCAAAGGAACACCAAAATACGTGGCTTCTTGAGTACTCATCAATCCTCCATGAGTTATAAATAACTTCACATTAGGATGAGCTGGAAGGCAAGACTTTGCATGAGAATAATAAGGAAATTTATTTCATTAATAATTCTAACATTAAATTAAGTTAACCTTTAAAACCATGTTGTTTAAGAGTCAATAACTTCATTCTTTTTAAAATAAAATTTGAATAATTTGTTTAATTCATCAGCTGTACGGTTTAATTTTCTCACCTAGGATATCGTGTTGAGGAAGCCATTTTCCGAGACGCACGTTTTTGGGTTGCCCTGGCAAAGAGTCGGCTTCCCATTTCCATAACACTTTCTGTTTCAACTTAGAGAATGCTTGGATGAAAGAATTGCGTTTAGCTTCTGGCATATCAACACTGCGTACATTTGAACCTAAGCTAAAGTAAATCACTCCATGTGGAGCATCATCTAAGAATTTCTGTAGGTCCTGCAAAGCAATGCATTGTCGTTAGAATAATTCAAAACACGTTGTGGTATTAAGAGAGCCTATATAACTATTATTAGCTACCTGAGGAAGCTTCCCCTTTTCTTTCACATGAAGGGCTCCTAGTTCAATCGTATTGGGTGTCAAGGGTCGAGGGTTATTGAGTGCTGGGTGACTATGAAGGAAAAGGAAAGCAGTGTCAGTTTCTAGTTCATCTATACTAGGTATGGTTGGGTCAGGAAAATGTTTCCTCATAATTGAGTCCATTGTTGGAACAACAATAAATGTGCGGAAAAGTACCAAGAAAGACATCTGCATAAAGTTAGAAAATCGGCCCATAAAATCTAGTGAGCCTGTGTCAGAGGTCAGAATTGGGATATAAGAGAGAGTACTGGGGTTCCCAACGGGGTCTCCTGACCAGGGGATGATTGAGTTGGGTACGAGTTGGATCTTGGGTGCTTTAAATTTGTGAAGAAGCCCATATGTACACTCGGTGAAAAATGGCTCATAAAGTACTAGGTCGAACTCGAGATCCTTACTATTTATTAACTTTTGCATATTGGGCAACTGAAGCACTTTTTCACAACTCTCGGAACAAATTTTAAAGATGAAATACATCATCATGGGAAATGGTGCCTCTCGCATTTCAAAAGTATTAAACTCTTTGCTATCTGAAAAAAAAAGCATATTGTGATATTAGTTTTCAAGTAGGACATTATTCAGCTAGTTTATAATGTTAAATTTAATTGCATGAGTTTGGGGCAATCCATAAATTACGTGAGACCTTTAGGGGGGAGGGGGTCAAGGCGAATCTCACCTAATACACTGGGGGAGAGGGGGATCTCGGCAATTATGAGTTTTTTTTTACTAAAAACTGCTAAATTTTGAGAAAACTGATACAAGTTAAATAAAAAACTGAGTATACTAAAATATGGCTAAATCTTACACAATAATTTTTATCGCGGTTATGAAAATGCTACAGTTAGTAAAATAGTCTACAGAAAAAAACATTTGAGAAAAATTACAAAACTTTTTATCATTAATTACATAAACCGGATTACCTGTTTAAGGGAAAATTTCCGAGAATAAATTATTGCACTATTTTTAGAAGTGCAATAATAATCATTGTAATTCATTGTATTTTCTAAATACTAGTCATATCTAGTCTTGAATAAATATAATTAAGCTAATTTTTTTAATAAATCCCAAGACAATAAATCACAAATTATCGTATTTACATTAAAACTACGCAATTTTCTAAAATCTCATGTGAGATTAGAAGGGGGAAAGGGGTCGAGCCAAATTTCTCTAAGGAGATGGGAGAGTCGAAAAATTGCCAAAATCGCCTCACGGAATTTGTGGACGGCCTCTTTAGAAAATGAGCGACAAAAGGAACGTATTATCTAATTGTTGCAAGTGAAATTAATCTTCATTATCAATCACTTGCATTTTTTGCAATATAACAAGGTTGTAAATTGTTAAAATACATAGTTTTCGAAATAAAGTTAATAAGTATAGTTTTGTAGCTGACAAAATGTACGTCTGTATTATGTCGCGTAAATATGACAGATAAGTTACATGTGCAGACAGAAGAAAGTTATATTCTTTACAAGACGAAACCGATTACATTTTAACTTTAAAACGACATAAACGATGTTCTTACATGTGACAGGATCGTACATAACTGTGTCCATTCAAGACAAGATCAAGATTGCCTAAAAACTGTTATAAAGGGCCAAAAATTAAAGAGCACCTGCAACAATTCTAATATTGAATACTTCTGAATCTGTTCTTTTCTTTCACACGCCTTTAAAACTGCATTATTAATAGTAACGAGGAAACGTGCTTTTAACTATTTTTATTTATTTTGAAGAAACTAGAGATTAAACACTGCATTGATTTCTTTGGTGACTGCGAAGTTTATGTATTAACAACGCCTTCTTCATATTCGAAGGCAGTTTGTGACATGAACTGTTAGGCCAGTTTGTATGTACATTTTGCCTGGAAAATATCATAAACACTTTTTCCTTTAAGTTTTTTGTATGTATCCCGGCACTAAATGTATCCAGGTTAAAACGCAAAGTTTTCGACTTCCCAGACACCGTGCTAACTCAAAGAGGTCAGAAAAACCGTTATTTTTCCTCGCTTGTTTTTTCTGTATATCTCTTTAACTTTAAGACCTGTAGACAAATTATTCAAATCAATATTAAAGAGAATAAAGTTCCCTACATCTTTTGTATAAAACATTTTTTTTCGAAACCAATTACCAAGCGAGCTTCAGATTATCGAAAAAACGCTATTTTTCAATTCTCCAAACTGTGTGCAAGAGTACACATGTGTGTTAAATTATAATCAACCTACAATAAATATAATAATTATTACTTATGTGGTGATCCGTCCGTCCATAACATCGACAGGGTCCGTCCATAACATCTATGCGATCAATGTTATGAAGTGAAAATAAAATTAGGAATAATAAGCGATATAAGAAGCTGGGTAGTTACAGACAGCAAAACTACTACTGACAGTTTTCCGTTAATCTCGTGTGTATATTTCAAGAGATACAAAAAATTCTTATTATTCCTTGTATATTAATTTCTTCCACTCAAGAAAGAAGAATTTTAATTAAGTAGCGAAGCAGATCCATGGGACGGTATTGCTAGACTCATCTCCTGACCCCCGACCTCGCACATTAATATCATGGCATTAAATAATTCTGCCGAATTAAGCCAGAAAGAACTAGATAACAACACAGATGCTATATTCACATCTATAATCAAGCTGCCGCCATTCTGGGATTACAGGCCAGCATTATGGTTCGCCCAAGCCATACGCACAATTTGCGTTACGACGATTACTCCAAAGCAACACAAAATATTTTATCGTGTTATCCATCCTGAATTTCCTCGTTGCTCAAGAAGACAAGGATATTCTAACCAATCCTCCATCTACAGATAAGTACGGCACATTGCGTTTCGAAATTATTAAATTATACATCCCAACAATACGGATATAATACAACTACTGCATGATGAAGCATTAGGAGACCGCAGCCTGCCACCAATTTCCTAGGAATTTACGATCATTAACTGCCATCATGAATATTCACGATTTTTTCAAATCTATCAGGGAACAACGTCTACCCAAGAATATTGAAGCACTTTTACAGTGCCAATAACAAGCCGATCTTTATCAATGTGTTGAACTCGCTGATAAGATCATAGATGTGAATTCGACAACTCCAGAAGTGCATTCAATTAACACCTCCTCGCATATTCTCAACTCACTCGAGAGCATACAGCAACAAATTCGGCAACTCACCAAACGTTTCGACTCTCTGAAACGTCAGTTCACAAGTCTGCTCCTCGTCTATCATCCTGTAGCCGTCAGCGCTTCACACCTCCATCCGAATTCAAAGGCAGTACAGGTATTACTCCCGCAACTGTTTTTGAACGATGACCTTGCTTCCCCCTCTCTCACACAATAAACAGATGAAGACATTAGCTCGCAGGGTGCACTGATGACAACATTTTAAATATGTTTTCACTGGCGCGAAATAAGACGAGAACTTCTGTCCGTGATTTTCTCTAAAAGATCTAAATAAATGACAGGATGATGTGTAGATCCAACACAGGAGATACCTCGAACTCCTGAGAAAGTTAGATCGCAAATTATTGAGAAATTTTGGAAGGCATGACTTATTATCCAGAGATTGACATTGCTTCATAAAATCTAGTGGCTGATTTCGTAACTAATACCGCCACTCTTCTTGGATTTCTTTAATCCATCGTTCAAGAAAAGTTGCGCAAGTAATATGTGTTATTACCACTCAAAATACGTATGGTGAAAAAGCACATATGTGCAAGACTCCCCGTAGTCATCCACATGTGCTTGACATCACCGACGGACACCATCAAGCCCGCTTCGCACTCAGCCTTTTTCTATACGATTCGCGTTCAAGAAGATACTTTCTTACTGATACTGGATCCCAAGTGTCTTGTTTTCCTAGCTATGTCTCTAACCAAATTCAAGACAAGATTACACGTGCGCGCAGCTGACAGTACAGATCTTGCGACTTTTGGACATCGTTTCCTGTCCTTGAACATCGTCTTACGACGCGATTTCACGTGGACATTTATTATTTCCGTTACTATGCCTATCATTGAATCAGATATTTTATCGTATTTTTATCTCGTTCCTGACTGTTCATCAGGTACTTTATCGGATACTATAACTAACACGGCCGTTTTTGGAATCAGATTCCCCACACACCAACCAAGCATCTTGATAATTTAACCTGTAAATAAGGCATTTTGGCGGAAGTTCCGGGTATATCTTCACCCCCAGGTTAATTTCGTCATATTGCATTACACGACACAGTGCATTTTATCCATACCACGTGTGATCCCCAATGCTTTACTCGTCCTCGCCGACTGAATACCATCAAATCTGACGCTTCCAAATTGGAATTTGACGCCATGGTACGCGAAAGCGTCGCACATCCTTCTTCTAGCCCTTGGAGGGAGAAGAAACGCAGAAGAAACGCCCTTCGCAGGAAGAAGAAACTGATTTCTGGTTGGAGACGATGCGGTTTTTCCAGTGAGTTGAATGTTCCCACTAAACCAGACCGATATCCAATGCGTCACATTCAAAATGGTAACAAGTCTCATGCAGGATGTCAATATTTTACTTTCATAGACCTAATCAAGGCTTATACACGGATCCCGGCCAATTACGAGGACATACCGAAAACTACCATAACTATACCCTCAGGTCTACTTGAATTCCCTTACATGAACTTTGGGTTACATAAGGCTGGGCAAACCTTTCAACGGTTCATGGGCCATGTAATGTGAAATTTCAGCAGCTTTTGTCTCACATCTATCGACGAAATTCTCATATTTTCTAGTTCTTATGATGAACATAATCAGAACGTTAGACAATTTTTTGACTGTCTTACAATAGAACGGAATATTGATTATTGTAAATAAATATCGTTTTGCCCAGACCACAAGAATATTACCTTTTACTACGGGGCTGCTGTGGTGACCCGTCCATCCATAACATCGATCGGGTGTTGTGAAGATCCGTCCATAACGATCAATGTTTTAACGTATGTTGCCCCGGAAATATAATTAGGATTAATAAGCGATATGATAAGCTAGGCAGCGAAACTTCTCCAGACAGTTTTCCGTTAATTTCGTGGGTATAGTTCAAGTGATACAATATATTTAATTATAATTCCTTGTACATTCATTTCTTCAAGAGAGAAGAATCTTAATTAAGAAGCGAAGCTGATCCATAATAAAGTAACGCTTGCCTCAACATGTAATACTATAATGTATTTTATCGTCGATGTAAACATTTCCTCATAATGGACCCATTGTTGAAAATATTAATATACAAAAAAATTGATATTGATATATATATATATATATATATATATATATATGTGTGTGTGTGTGTGTGTGTGTGTGTGTGTGTGTGCGTGTGTGTGTGCGCGCGCGCGCGCGACCGCGTGCGCGAGCGTGCGTGCGTGTGTGTTTTCTTATTACAGCTTAACTCTTCAGCGCGGGAACAATGTTATTTCAACAAAACGTAATACATTATTACTGGGTAATTGCAATGGGGAAAATAATATAATTGGAGTAAGACACTCCTGTGGAGGAAGATGGGACATTTAAAAACAAAATCATGCTACCCGTAATACATAAATACATATACATACATACTTCGCTTATTGCGCGCTGAACAGGCATAGTGGACGAGACGGGCACGGCTGTTTAATAGATTATGATAAATAAACCTCCGGGCAACGCCGGAATGTCTCTCGATACAATGTAGGTAAAGGGCGAATATGTGTATTGCCAATGCAATGTCATATGGATAAGGTGCGATTCTTCCAATTTCCAGAATTTGCCAGTTAATGCTTTCGTTCCCGAAAATGAGGGGATATAGTGTTGTACGAAACGTTCTTCATGCTTCTTCTTCAAGAGCCATATTAAATTAATTACTGTCTTCAACATGATTCGACGGCTCCCCCTTGAGCGAAATTTTGAACGATAAATGAAATGTTATTTCCAGTCTTGTCAGTTTCAGGAGAACTGCTACATGCATGCTCAGAACTATACTTCGGTTTTTATAACGTTGTGCGTCAGGGCTTCTCTTCACGATGGAATATCTCACAGTATTTCACATCATTCGGTATTTTTCTCAGATGTGCCATTGGATGCCGCTAGACACATCGCACTGCTTCGTACGGTGGCGATCATGCGAATCTAGCGGCACGACCGAGAAAGACGCGAAATGCCGTAAAATAGTCCGTCTTAAAGACAGGCTCTGTCGCGCCATGTTGTAAAAACAGAAGTACTCGTATGTGTTTGCCTAGAGAAGAGTACTTTAGTCCAGATTTTCTGCAGTAACGTGCCTCGGCAAGTCATTTAAATATATGAAGTAAGAGTTCTTACGGTGCATTTCGTACTATTTCAATTAAACACGTGTGTGCTAGATGCTGCACCAATCCTATGGAATATTTTGTCATCCCAAACTTGACGGTAGATGCGACATCCACTTTTGCGAACTGAGACAAGACAAAATTTAGGTTTTATTCTCGTCTTTGAAATAATCTGGTAACGGAGATTGTTCAGTGTTCTCGTTCATATCTTAACCGTATCTATCAACAAAAATAGTTCATCTTCGGTAATATGTTCTGCTGTAGTATCTGAATATACATACTATTTCAGTCAAATCACAGTTGCCGATAACCACTGCAGACTATTTTTTTTATATTGACTACGCCGGGTGAATGTATCACATACAATGAGTGGGACTTGACCCTTATTCTAGAGATACATGTCTTGGTTCTGTTAGAATAATCAGTAGATTCGTAATTTCTTTTATGGTGGTAACACTATCAGACTCTTACATTATATTGCAGTATTTACTATCGTAACTTTTCTGACAAACACCGTTAACAGTAAATTGCTCCAATCTTTACGTTAAGCGTAGAAAGACAATTTTTATATGGTTTTGAAACCTGAAATCTCTTTTGTTTTTCAAGACAAACCCACATTTTAGCAAATTCTTCTGGTGCTTAAAACATTGTTACCTCTGTAAAGGTTATGTTATATCACCAAACACCGTAACGCTGTACGACCAGAGCGCCCAGAAGGTGGGTCAGCTGGAAAAAAATTCCTCAGACTCCCACTTAAGTGGGGCCCCGAAAAATGTATTTTTTCTTCAATATTTTACTAAAAAACTATTTGAACAAACATTTACTAAGTGTACAAATCACTACATACTTAATAGAACACAGGCCCCAGTAATCAGGAGGCCGGTGGGTCCCACCTCTTCATAACAATCTACAGTTGTTTTGTTCTGTTTTGAGTCTGTGGGTCGCTAGTGTTACGTTCAGAAAAAAATATGCAGAAGTAAGAAATGTTATTCTCTTTAAAAATTTGGTTCTATTTATTTATGGCAATTGTCTATTAAACATCAATGCCTGACACAGTCACTGTGCTAGCTCATTGCACATTTTATGCGGTATGTGCATTGCGGGTTGCATAATGGATTTGTTTGTAAATATCACTCCCTTCTCACCCACCCCTGTAGGGGTGCTTTAACCCTTTTCCCCATTATACCAAGTTGTGTTGAAATCAGTGATGTGCGTCTACGCGTAAAAAACATTCGTCTACGTCTACACCAAAACAACGCGAAGACAACGCATTCTGCGTAGACAAAGGTAATCTATGTGGACAACGGTAATCTGTTGTTTTTTTTGTGGGTCAGGAGCGAATCTACGAGGGGTATGATCCACTCCCAAAAGCAATATTTATTTACACTTATACTCAATTTATCCAAAGCCATACTGAAAATTAATTGGGTCATATCCAAAGGAGTACTACCATTATGAATAAACTTTATTTCTAATTTGTAAAACATTTTTTTTTTTGAGTTGGTTGCGGAGGTTGCCTTTTCTTTATCAGGAATGGTATATTTTGATTGACTTACTAAATCTATTTTTTTATTATTAAATTTCAACACGCCTCTACTATTACTACATGTTATAAACTTTTTTTCAGTTATTTCATGTGAAACAATTGTCTACATAGATTATATTATCTACTTAATCTACACGTTAAAAGAGTCATTTAGATTACATGATGTATATTACGTGTAGAAAACACGCGTAGACGTAAAATTATAGTCTACGGCACAACTCTGGTTGAAATGACATTGTTCCCGCGATGAAGAGTCAAGCTGGTACTTGAACACCCACAAATACATATCCTTTTCTTCGTATATCAATATTTTCGGCAATATGAGACAATGCTTGCACTGGCGATGAGCTAAATAAGAGTATAAAATGTAATTATAAGAGTAGTCTATCATTTTACGTCCACGCGCTTTTTCTAAACGTAATCTACGTGTAGTCTACATGACTCTTTTTACGTTCAGTCTTCGTAGACAACGTAATCTGAGTAGACTATGTTTTCACATCAAATGACCGAAAAACGTTTATAATATGTCAAAATGGTAGAAGTATGTTGAAATGAAACATTTAAACTTTTATTTTCGATTCAATAGGACAAACAAAATATACCACTCTCGATAAAGATATGACAATCTCCGTAACAATCTAAAGAAACCACTAGGAACGTGTTTCAACTTGCACTTCAGTCCACTTTGCATCAGACTATTTCCCTCCAAGTGCAATTTCTCCATCACGGTGGGCAGAAATATTATTCAGATCCCTTATCATGTCGCCAACCTTTTCACACACACACACACACACACACACGCGCGCAAGAGAGAGGTGGACCAGATAAATACATAACAGGGGCGAAGCAAATCCATTCATGATTCTCACCCGCCCTGTAAATATTTTTGAAGCATAGTAATGTTAACTGGAAATTTATAGAAATGTTTATTCATTATGGTAGAACTCCTTTGGATGTGATTCAATCATTATATAGTATTGCTTTGGATAAATTGAGAGTAATATTTAATAATTAAATAAATGATGGCTACGGGGGCGTAGCCTGGCTCTCGTCGCCCTGCTCCACAAAAGAGATAGGCCTTTGTCTACGCGGGGGTACGTTGTTTATGTGTAGGCGCACATCACTGGTAATAATTAATATATTATAGGTTGGTTATAATTTCATAACCATGTGTATTTTGCACACATTTTTCAGAATTGAAAAAATTACGTTTTTCGAAAATCTGTAGCTCGCTTGGTAATAGCAAAAATGTTTTACACAAAAGTAGTAGGAAAATTTATCCTCTTTGAAATTGATTTGAATATTTTTTACACGGTTTAAGGTTAAAGAGCTACAAAAAACGAAACAAGTAAAAAAATACCGGTTTTTCGGTCCTTCCGGAGTTGCCACAGGGTCTGGAAGGTCGAAAACGTGGAGTTTTAAGTAGTGCCTGGATACATACAACATACTCAAAGCAAAAAAAAGTAATGCCTTTTTCCTGGTATCAGTATCCCCTCTTTACTACCGACTGAATTATATGATGCGTGTGATGACGCAATCATTTGTCCTATGAACGACTACTACATACTTTTGACTCAGTATGTTGTACTGAAAAAACATTTAATGAATGAGTATGTGGTGTTTCTCGTTATAGTGTATAAAATATTGTTCAATACTATTAAAAAATATCTACAATACCTCTTGCCGGAAACGTATCCTCCAGAACTATATCTGTGTAATTAGCAAGCGGTGTTTTCCTTGGAAATGGACTTGCGACAGTCACCTCATGGCCTCTTCTTGCCAATTCCTCGAAAAGAGGTGCATATGCACCAAAGTGACTTTTGGCTGGGACTGGCATCAGAACAAGAATTTTCGCTGCATCTGCCACACCAACCAACAGAAGAGTTGCCACTACCACAGCGAATTTGTTCATCTGGAAAGAATTCATGAAATTAGTCCAATCTTATAATTAAGTGTATAGTTTATACACGTTTGAAATTAGTTATTGTTATTCGCGTTTAAAAAACTGCGCTCAAGAATGAAAAGTTTTCTCCACGACCATTTGATGTCACACGTACTTGTCCTGCATATTTATTCGACGAATGACATCGATTATACACCCTGTGGATTAAAGTTCGGTATCCACGACCTCGCGTCCAATCAGATACCTAGAATTTTCGGAATCCACGGGCAGAATTTCATTCTCTTAGCAATTTCCGATACCGTTTTTAAACAACAATTGCAGTGCGCCGATCGACCAAACAAATGGGGATAAAGCAGAGGGGACGAACGGGACGTTTACGCAAAAATACTCATATTTTTGAAAACCTGAACATGTCTTTCTCTGAAGATCTGATCCCGACGAACAAATTTCATTAAGAAAAAAATGTATCTTCACAATTGTATTAGTAGAAGTGGCCGAAAAAAATTGAACTTTTGCAATATCCGTGAAAAGCAGGGATTTTAAAAAAAGAGATCTGTACAATTCTCTTGAGAGTCCTTTACGCTAATCGAGGTTGAAGTTTAATTTCAAAAATTGTTTCATTTATTAAAATTTTGATAATGTCCTTGAGATTTCTTGTAAAGTGACCCCCATAGAAATTAAAACAAGGGTTTCAAATTCAGGGGGCCAGGACCTCACCCATATCGATTGGGGAATATCAATTTTGGTGAAAATACTGCTTACATTTTAGCCGCATGCGAACGGACGGAAGAACAAATTTTTGCCGTAAATCGATTTTTCGTTATCGAGGACTCACAATACGTGAAATCTGACTACACATGGGGTTAGAGGAAATTCTTTACTACATGTACAGCCAAGATTTATCCGTATCCAGGACCCGACAATAAGAATTTTTGTGTCGAAAATTCACCCTTTTTCCCTCAAGCATTACAATACTTTATTTGTACAGCGTAAGCAGTAGTAAGAAAATATAATGTATATTTTCTTCATAAATCTGTTGTAGCAAAAATAATGCTTTGAAAATACTCGGTGTTTGAAACGGCAGGAAATCAAGGCCATTGTGCCATGACGTCACTATTCAGTGTTACGTTGTCTGCGTTTTGAACATTAGAGAAGCCAATGCGACGAGTAAAATTGAATAATTACAATAAATAGATAGAAGTATTGTTTTGTTCAGAGATGTGGAAGTCCCCAGTACAAAATCCATGTCAAATTTATATAGAATTAACATATTTTTAATTTCGAAAAAATTAATTGAGAATATTCGTCGGGAGACTTTTTCACTATTACGACAGTGAAGTGTTTTGTTTTGAAGATCATTTTCTTTTTGTATACACGATACTCGATAAAATGAGAATGTTTTCACTATCAAGGAAATAGCTTTTTGTTAGATCGAATGCAGAAACTAATTTGTCTCTGCCTTATCTTTAACAAGTGCCGCTCACTTTTAGAATAACTTTAATCTAAAGTCATGGAACCCACCACTACTGGTGTTATTACACAATTCAACCAATCGCACAAATACGCTCTAAGTGACTCTTCTGAGAAGCCTTTAGCGACAGATCCGACATAGCAAAAGTGAAACACGTCAGAAAAAATACCCATGAGGCGCGTAGTAATTTAAGCCATCATTGACCTCGCGATCAGTAGCAAGGTACTGTTCGATCACTCTGGTTAATTGTTTTCAACATTCAAAACATCACTAACTAACGTTGTGTCATTCTGTACCCGAGTTTTAACTTCTTTTTTATTGTGTTGCCCTTGCTTCGTAAAATGAGAGAGCATTAGGATCGTGCGTCAAAAAACCGCAAATTGTCGAGAGAAAAACTCTTATTGGCTGTACCTGGTAACGAAATAGATAATAAATCCCGATGATATTAAGTACATTTCTTCCTCTAACTGGCGTTGTAGCCAGAATCCATGTTTTGTGGGTCCTTGATACTGAAAAATCAATTGACCGAAAGACGCCCGTCTGTCCATCTGTAGTCACGTTTTCCTCTTCTACCCATCCTTATCCACCATCATCTTCCACCATCCTTATCAAATAAGCTATGAATTATCAGTTTTCATACCCGAGGAAATCTCAGACCCAATGACCTCGGATAGTCGCATGTATGTATAAAATACGATTTGATAAGAGATAAAATGTTCATGTTTTTTGCGCAAAATACTTAATAACATTTCTTTGATAATGTTGAACAAAAATAAAATTACTTCCGTACATTGAACAAATCATAACATAATTTTTATTATGGAGATATTTAAAGAAGGGCCTTGCCGTAAATAAAAACAAGACATTTCTAAGCCTACATCTTTAAAAAGGTTAATTTACGACTATTTTATATGAACTTTTTTGTAGTACATTGTATTTTCTATAATCTTGCAAAGAGTGTAATTTATAATTTTGTAATTTTGACATTTTCGATAGGATTTACAGTTATGGAGATGTATGTAGAAAGAAAGAAAAACACCTCCAGAAGCCCCCCTACTCCAGCTCGCCACTTACTTCAAAATTTTTAATATAATGTGTGACTTTTTGACATAATAACAACAAACAATCGTACTAAGTTTCAAAACTTTTTCCCTTTGATCACATTTTTATCTAATTTCATTAGGCTAAACAACTTTTTTTCAAAATATATTTTTTCTTCCAATTTTGAGAGAAATAGTAATAATATTTTTAAAAATACATATAGAATGTTTCCTCAAGAAAGGTCTTCATTTTTTTCTTTAAACCTACCGTACGGTTAGACAACAATAAATTAAATCACATGACATAATCCCCATTTTCGTTAAATCCTTTGATAAAACTAGTGGTGATATAACATCACGAACATGTATGTGCAAGAGGAAGTAATTTACTATATATGGGAAAATATTTATTCACTTTGTTCAGTCCAGGGACCGGCAAGAAGTTACTGTGTATAAAATTTGCCCTTTTTGCAGCATTACAATACTTTTCCTAAACTGCGTAAGCAATAGCGAGAAAGTAAAAAGATTATTAAAGGCCATTTAGAAATTTTTTGAAGAAAATGTTGATATTGCGGAATATCTGCTTGAAGTTAAAGCAATTTATAAACAAAATCATATTTTCTGAAAAAAATGGCTCAAATTTTGAATAGTTTCACGGACAGAGCAAAAAACGCTTAAACATGAGGTGCTGGTCTCCTTTTCTTTGAACTCAGAGTTTCCGAAAATTGCAGAAGTATTATTTTTTCCGTGTCTTCCTAAAACTAAAAAATTTAACATACAGCTATTTCCTTTAAATGAAATTTAGTCTCCATATTTTGTTCTTTTAATAAGATCATGTACATGATTTGAAACTTATAGTAGTTTTCGCGCAATATTGCATGCAATATGTACAACTTTAAAGAAATAAGAAAAAAGATGATATTCTCCAAAAGCTCCAATTTTCCTTTAAACTTTTTGTAGGGATAGTGCTAAATGTACTCTATGGGATGACACACATGCCATTTTGTCTTTTCAAAAATTACATAAATCTATTTTTTGACTACCCTCTCACATCGTTTATATTAGAGGCGTTTTGTTCACATAATTGCATATATGAGTACATGTGCTTTAAATGATGTCAGAAGAAGTTTCTCGAAAACTCAGCAGTTTTCTGTAAATATTAACTCAAAATTCTACATTTTTAGAAACACTCAAACACCTTTTTCTTAAAAACGGCTCCAAATTTTTTGTCAAACATTTTGTACTGGTAGTGCTTGTGTCATAAAATTAATTTTGCTGTATTCTTTTGTTTTTTAAAACGTGTCGCAAATGTATTTTTAAGTGTGTATTACGCCTTGAAAAAGAGCTTTAAATTTATCATTTACATCAGAGCTTAAACGATTTTTTCTTAAAAACTGCTCCAATTTTTTCAACGAAAATGTCCATACATGACGAGATTTTACTCTTCTTTAATATTTTAAAAGTTAAATTTCGAATCTAGCATTAGGAAAACTTAAAATTGAGAAAACTTTAAATATTGTATTTTGAGCGGCGATAGATGGCCAGCAGCAAGAGTATGTAGTAAGATCGAAATACCAGCCCAAACCGAAGATATTAGAAAACTAGTACGAGAAAGTCTGTGTCATTCTGTAGCACCACTAGTTTTCTTAACAAAATATATTCATCAAACACACATGTTTAAATAAGGTCACATTAAATGTTTCGAAAATATCAAAATTATTTGTTTAATTTTGCATCAAACCTATACACTTTTTAACTGTGAAACAATTATTTTCGCAGAAACGGTTTTGTCAGAAAACACGCACGCTACGCGACTTGCATTTGTCTGGAAATCGAATTCGCCTACACACAACACACATGCATCAAGAATGGACGCAGCATGTTTTACGCCCACTACAGGGCCTTTTCTCACAATACGGTGCGAAGCGAGGAAACGCTTGGGCGTGCCTTACGTGAAAGGTGCAAGCTCGCTCATGACTCTACGGGAAGAGGCGAGACATCACATGGCGCACGGGCTGTTACAAAATCCTTGAAATGGAAACATGGCTCGTGCCGCGATAATGAAGTGCCCCTTATATATTTACAGATGAATATTTCTTTCATCATTTTAAATTGTAGGTGTCATTTAATTTTTACTTTCTCTCCCTTTCGTAGGTACCTTGTAAGAAAAGAAAGTTATGTAATCGTGCGCCGAAAAACGGCAAATTTTCAGCAGAAAAACTGTTATTGCCGGGTCAATGCAAAGAAAACGTTGGTAAATCCAGTTGCTAAATATTGAAAAAAATCCTCTAACACATGGTGAAGCCAGAGTCTGTTTTGTGTGACCTTGATCCCGAAAAATCGATTGACGGCAAAGAGTCCGTCTGAGGTCAACGCTAGCGCCTAATCCGTTCTGACGATTTTCTTCAAAATCAATATTCCCCAAGCAATCTGAATGAACTCGAGATTTTGGGAGTTTCAAAGGAATATTTAGATTTTTGAGAATACTTGTTCACAGACAGACGGGTGGGTGGGTAGGCGTTTCGTCATAAGCCAATTTTTCGATATTAAGGACCAAAAATCGTGGATTCAACACAATGTGTTAGGGGAAGTAATTTACTACATTTTGGAACAAGATTTATCCACTTTCATAAGGACTCCACAATACGAGTTTTACTGTTAAAAAATCAAGATTTCTGCCGCTGCATTATGTAACTTCTTTCTATTCTGCCTATAACACTTTCAATGTACGTATGTATATGAGAATGTACAAACCATAGACATGCACAAGGAAGGATTGAAGTACGGGATACCGCAGTTACTAGATATACAAAAGGTACACGCTAGTGGTGCGGTGTATTGTGTAGGCGATGAAATAACACACTTTGAAATTAACTGGCTGGGAAACATAGAACCACCGATTCACTCTGAACGCACGGGGCTTCTGGGGTATACTGAAAAAAAACGATGTCTTAACCAGACACCGCGAAAAATCAGAATGATGCAATTTGTGATATGGAGTAACGCAATATGTAGGAAACAACAGACATTTGCAAGTGCAAACCGAGTCAATACTCAAGGTTCAACCAACTGAGCATTTTATTTATTTTATCGGTCTTGTTTATCAATACTTTTCGTAATACCGTCTTCTTAAAATATCATTTTTTTAAAATAAGAAATACGTTTTTTAATATTGGTTCTCATATGCTACATCTCATTCATTGATTTTGATTGACCTTAACGGCCGCCTATTTTTAAGACGGGCTGTCTCCTCTCACTCCTCTCGTTAGTCACGCTTTATCGATGTAAATAGCACAGTATTACGAAACAATATCAACACTTTTTTCTTCTTCGCTAATAAAAGCTGGGCGGCGGCAAACACTTACTTTGGTAGAGGTGAGGAGATTCGTGGAATCACGTAAGCACTGCTGTGAGAAGTTCAAAAATCGTTTGTGTAATCGTGGGTGCCGTTCCCTGCGGGAGGCGTGTCACAAATACTTCGTGAAGGATCTGAACGTGCCGTTTTATCTCGCTCTCTCCTCTCTCAGACTTTGGAAGCCAACTGTGACTCAAGTAGTCATGACAGTAAACATTTTTTTTCAAGTTTGTCACATATAGCTTGACCGCAACTCTCAAAGTTTTATCTCAAGATACACACACGCTTATCTTCAAATAGTTGTGAACAGCATCGGAGACTGACCGGGAATTGAAAGAACGATCCACGAGCGTTACATTCATACACTCATACTCTGCGCTCATTATGTGTGTTGGCACTTCTCTGGCCTTGAGGGACTTCATATTAGATGCTGTTTGGACGACCGGGTAGTGATAGCTGTACAAGCATGACTAGGCTTGAGCGTCGCAGCCAGAATTGTCTTTCGAAGAGATATCGATAAGTGAACATTCATGAGATCTTTTACGTAACATTTCCGGAGAGCCAGTAACGACATTTTGACAAATTTGATGTGATATTATGATGTAATTTTGATGTGGTATTATTTCATATCGGTTATTACAGGTATTATGACGTAAAGTTTCCTCTAAGGGGAAACCAAGTTAGGTATCAATTATTCCCTTAACTCCTTCCTAACTTCCTCTTTCGTCTGAACATAGTATAAAGGGTATTCCATTGAGTTATAAACTCTTATAGTTTTCATTTCAAGGCAACATTTCTCTTGCTTTGCCATGTGCCTTTAGAGTTGCAGAACTATCATTTACCATCTTGCATAGAGTAAAAACCTAAGATCAAGGACACGAGAACAACTCAATAGATTTTACCTATTGAGTATACACGGGATAATTATTTCAGAGAAAGAAGAAGAATTTAAAAATAAAATACTTAAAACCAATTCATAAAATAAACGGAAACCTGTGATTGATTAAAAAAATTTTCTTCGATTACGTTCGGAAATATCTTTTTGTTTCTACAATTTTAAAAGTGTAAAAATAGTATTTTTGAGTCTTTCTATATTAAATATTTTTTAATTTAAAGAAAATAGAAGCTACCTTTTTATCAGTGTTATAATAATAATAATAATAATAATAATAATAATAGTGATAATAATGATGATAATAATGATAATAAGGATGATGATAATAGTAATAATAAATTATTTAATTGTTAGAAAATTTTAATTTTAAAGTTATCAATTTTTATTTTTTTGCCCTTCATTGTAAGAAGAAATAGTATTGTAATCCCACACCAGAAAACGACGAAAATGAGTCTGTCCGTTTGTGGTCTGCCAGTCTTTTTGTCTGTATGATTGTTCGTCTACCCATTTTCCCCAAAAAGGCTACATTTTGGATAAAACTTTGTACTCTGATAGCGTACGGAACGCTTAAGAGAATCGTTCAGGTCTCATACTCCTTGAAGCCCTTCCCTAGGGTGCTCGTGTTGACCGCCTCTCCGCGCATGAAATACGAAGACGAGTGTAGGAAGAACCAGGGCAACCGGGCATCCCTTGGGTGGGAGGTGGTCTACTGGAAGACGATGCTACGATCAGCGTTGACATTGTTCGAACTCTGGACTGACAGTGGTATCATTCGATACTATTTCACATTTTTACGAATAAATTGTGATATTCACGAACAAAATATCGATCATAAACGTCGGATTTACAAAATGTTGCTTGGTTTTATAAAACATACTATTCATGATTCTAAAACATCGTTATTTTGACAATATCGCCATCAATATCGCATCCCTACCCTCGACACATCACTCAGGATCCCCGTTGTATCACGGAATTTGGTGGAGCGGGGGCCCTATATAAAAAACTGAGACACTTGTTCAAGACAAAAAAGACAGCACGCAATTTCGTTCCGTCGTACTTAGATGCAGGCTTTCAAACACTTTTGCTGCTATAAAACAAATCTTTGCATAATGAATAAATGCAATACAATGTGCGGCTCTATATTAATAATTTACTAGTAAAATGTGGCGTCGCCGATGCTGTAAACTGCTTTAAAAATAGTTTCATGTTTTGAAAATTTATTTCATACCCAGCTTTGTTCAAATATGTTCTTTCAGTATCTGGCATTGGACTTAACAACGAATCGTAGTTGCTGATACTCCCGTTCAAAAGTTCCCTAAACCCAATGGCCTTTTGTGTTATCTCCATACGAGATATGAACTGGTCTTATTGCAATTTCAAAATTATAATCAACGTAACAAATACTTGCAGATTTTGATTCTAATAGTTAAATTTTAGTACAGCTACATTTTTACGCTTTTTTGCTAATATGCACAAAAGCACATAGCAAATTTGCATTAGCATAAATGCTAAATGCTAAAATGCAGATCGTTCCCAGTTATTTCCGAAAATTCTGTGTTAACATCTTTTACGACTATATTTGATTCTTCCCCGGATTTGCTTAGCACTTCCATATTTTTCTCTCCAAATTTTTAAAGAGATTAAAACTTTACAAACTCAGTTTAATTTTTGTTCATTTCTACTTCTGTAATTGCTCTATTATTCATTTTGCATGCGAATATAGCTCTGCATGCGAATCTGACATTAAAAGGCGACTGTTTTGCATGTTTATGTGAATAATGTGTTAGTTAAGTTTAATAATAATAAGTTGTGAGTCACATTCATTTGAAATTCGGTATTTGCATACTTATGTCAGAAAGTAAAAATGCGTCGAGTATTTCTCTTGATTTCTCCATATTCACTAGAAATTATTTAAGAGTAATATTTCCCGATGCAATACTGTTCGTAAGTTTTCGCAAATTTGTTTTCTAAATAAGATAATTCGAATCTAAATTGAAATCAAACTGCAACGCGATTTATTTGGTAGTTTAATTGTTCACATAAAGATGTCAACATCAGTGTTGCCCGCCTCATTAAAGAAAATTATGGGGTATTTTGCTAAAACTACGTTTGGATACTGGTGTTTAATTAACGCCACCTACATAGATCGATTTAGGCGTTGGTTTAATTCCTGGCATTATCACCAAAAATGCAGCGCCAAAACTCGAAAAAACCACGTTTTTGGAAATTTCTTTGAATCTTCTTCGTATGATTCGAAAACAAATTATCCATCCGACCGTGACGCGTCGAATGGCACCTCATACGTGTCGGTTGGTGTCCGGGAAGTGGTCTGGCGGCGAGTGACGGAACCGCACACAGCCGCACAATCGCAGAAACGCACATACGCACTCTCCGAATTTTGCTGAACTACTGTATAAGGAATAGAACTCAGTGCTTTAAAGTGCTTAAATGCATCACGAAGCAATGAATTACACTACACTGTTTACCTTCAAATTGCCATTGCTCTATACATCTGTCGGTCTCAACTATTTTGGGTTTGCTGAATGCCAACTGTCTTCAAACATTATTTCATTACATTTCATGGAATTCAGTGAATTTTTTATTCACGGCGAAAATGTTTAGGTCTCTTACACTCTTTATAGCATTAGACAACATGTCGATTGTTGGCGTGTAATTTGCTTCTTAATCTTCATCTACTTTTTGATCATTCTCATTTTCTTGCTGGGTGTCGCGACAAGATCTCTAACATAACCGGCTGCTTGATCCGCTGGTACAGTATTATTGCTATTGAAGTACTGTGTATCATCTATATCCATGAGCTTCACTTTTCTGTTCTACTGCTCAGCTGCTTATAATTTTTATTGGAAGAAACAATCTCTATCTTTACTATTGTAGTTGTGAAGAAACGCCGAAAATAATTTAAACTTGTGTAACTTTTTAAAATTCAGAGTTAGCAGTAAAAATTCGGATCTTTGTCATGTTTAGACAATAATTTAATCTGTTTTTACAATAAATTTAGAGAAACTAGTACTGCTAAAAGAAGCAGGTATTTTCTTGCAAATAGTAATGGTTATGTATTACTATTTCCACCACAATTTCTGGTAGGAAAACGCCCCAAAAAATTTCAATTTTTGCAATTTTCGAAAAATGGGGATTTTTAACTAACATGAGACATTCACCATTCTCTTAAACATCCTTCAGACTATCCAACAACATAATTTAATCAAAATAGGTTGCGTCATTTTTTAGAAATTTTTTAAGATGTTCCAATGGCTTCATTACCCAATATTAAAAGATAATTCTAATATTAAAATATTTCTAATTCAAGCAACAGCGACATCAGCCAAATCGATTGGTGAATATCAATTTTGGAGAAAATCGGCTGAACGGTTTAGCCGCTAGCGTTGTTCACAGACGGTCAGGCAGACGTTTTGCCGTCAATCGATTTTTCGGTATTAAGGACCCATAAAACATGGATTCTCGCTACACCACGTGTTAGAGGATTTTTTTCTTAATTTAGCAACTGGATTTAATCACTTTTTCGTTAGCAGGGCCCTGTAATAAGATATTTCTGCCTAAAATTCGCCGTTTTTTCGTAACATTACATAACTTTCTCTTCTTAAGAAGTTCCTTTTGAAGTGCGAGAAAGTAATTTTTGTATTTTTAACGCTTTATTTAAGAAGTTTTCAAATGGTTGTAGAAATGTAAGAAAGAAATTGTCATATCCTAATATTTACCCGACAAACCTTTTACCCGATCCCCTGCACAAACGCATAGAGCAAACACGAGTAGTGTTATTCCCTTAAATAATAATAAAAAAATATTCTAAAATAGGTCCTCTTTTTCACGGGCCCATCCGCATTGCGGACCTGAACGTTACACCAGCCCACGACAACCAATTTCAAAATTGATTTAAATGTAGAGAACACCTTTCTCTTCTAATTAAATATATTTATTTTTGAATGTTTTAAATTGTTAAAAGACATTGATATGAAATGTAATAAAAATTTTAATTTCATTGTAATGTAATATTGTAATACAGATTTTGATCGCTTATGATCACGCACAGCGACCTAAAATAAAATAAAAATTTTAAAATATTTCTCCCTTGAAAGTTTAAACATATGTAAACATGTTAAATTGTGAGAATAAGATCATGTCTCAAAGTAATAACAATTAACAATCAATTTTAAATCTTTGAAGGACTTCTCTTTTTGGATAAGATCTCTTTTCCACAATATTCTGTTGGTTCTTTTTTACAAAAGTAAAATCACATCCTTCTTGATTTTCAACTCCTTTCTTCAAAACCCCCTTTTCCACAAGTTGTAAATTACCAATACGATTCCTTGGTCCGCGTCCGAGTTTAAAAATGAAGTACAGAACCTTGTGGACTTTTCCGGTACGTAAACATCCCTCCTGGTTTTTAGTATTTCAGAACTGTTTCAAATACTCATTAACATAATTTTTCATAACAACAATTACAT